CTTCCAGCTGCCCTTGGGGCCATGTGATACCCTTGGCTTTGTTGCAGCTCATCATCTGAGCTAGTCACTGTTGGGGCCTCACCACCACGTGCCAAATGCTTTATCAGATACTTCCCCTTGAATGATCTCATTTACTACTCTGTATTCTCACCCAGCAAAAAAGGAAATGGAAACTCAGAGTGTCTTGGTGGGTTGCCTAAGGTCAAAACAAGTGACCCCGCGGGCACTCAACCCCAGGCCTGCTCTGAAGCTGGGTCTCTGCAGTCGCAGCCTTTCAACACCGGCCGTGGGTGCTGGCAGCAGTGACACCGGGCCCCAGTGGGGGTGCTCTCTCGGTGCTGAAATGGCTCGGATTTGGGCCATCTCTAAGCTGGGCGGCCTCGGAGCTGGAGGAAAGGTGTGGACTAGAGGATTCGAGAGAATGAGACAAGGCCCTGCAACAGTGCATTGATCTCAGGGGCTCTGCCGTGCCGCCCACCCCACGCGGCAGAGGCCCAGCCTTCATGCCCGTGAAGCCTGGGAAGTCGGCGAGGCCTCCCTGTTGCTACAACTGGCAGAGCCCATCAGCCCACTGGGGTCTCTGGTTATCCCTCCACTCCTAGGACTTCATGGGAACCGGGGGAGAGTTCTGAAACGGAAGAGGGTGCGGTGGTCGTGGCAGAGGCGTCTTCCTCTTCACACTTCATGTTCATACCCAACCCTCTGATGTCAGGCTTCCAGAAAGGTTAAGTCAGCTGCCAGCGGTCAAAGGGCTAAGAAAGGGAGCCGAGCCTCACCTACCCTCCACCCTCCTTCATCCCTGCTGCCTGCTCTTTCCCCCTGCCTGATGCCTCTTGTCACCTGGTCTTTGTCATCATCTGATTATTTCTTCTACCTTCCTGTGTTGCTGCCTGGCTGGGACGCGGAGACCAGGCAGCTGCAGGAGGAGCACGGTGGCTCGTGCCCTGCGGGCCAGGGGCGTATGGTTGTGTGGAGCTGCACACGCTTCTGATGGTCACTGAGAGCTCTCAGTCCAGACTAAGAGCTTCCCTTTCAAACCCTGGTCCTGCCTCAGCCCTCCTCAATGAACCTAAGAAATCACATATGCCTCCTCAAGTTGTAACCACAGTATGGGGAGGTGAGGCTTGACAAGATATCTAAGACCTTAGCAGGACTCTCAGCCTCTCGTCATCCGTGACTTGTGTTTCTGAGCCCATGGCCGCACCTGGTGCTCCTGCCCTCCTTACCCCCGCCCCAGGGAGTCACCCTCCCCTTGGGAGGATAGTGTGAAACTGAGAAGGACCTTCTGGAACACTGAGTCTGATGGCTTTGAAATGGCACCCTTGGCATCCTAAGGCCCTGTGGTCACACCTCAGGGACCATCTTGGAAAAGTGGGATTTGGGCTCTGAGCTCCTCCTCTCAACTGATGGTCTCCCTTTAGTCTGTTTTTAATTTATTTTTTTAAGAATTATTTTATTTAACTTTATTTATTTACTTATTTTCAACTTGACCAGAGAGGGAGAGAGAGAGAGAGAGGGAGAGAGAGAGAGAGAGAGAGAGAGGGGGAGAGAGGGAGAGAAAGAGAGAGAGAGAGAGAAAGGGAGAAAGCAAAAGCTGCCAGGTCCTGGACTCGAACTGTGGTTGGCCATGTGGGAGTCCAGTGCCCTTAACCACCACACCAACTGCCAGCCCCTCTAATCTGTTTTATTGTTGGGCATCCCCTTTAATGTTTTGTTTGAGGAGATCTGCTAGAAAAAACTGAGAAGCGTGGATCAATACCAGTCTTCTTGTTTTGCTGACAGAGACCTGCTGCCTTCCCGTGGGCTCATACAGGTTAGGGACCAGGCCTGGACCAGGCTAGAGGGCTCAGCCATGCTCCTCACAGCCCCAGTGACTTATCCTCTGTCCCGAGGCTTTGGAAATGCACTCAGCTCTTCACTCTGAGGTCTCAGGTTGCCCTCATTGGCCACAACCTTCATACGAGCCCATCTCTACCAGGCAGCTTGGAGGCCTCGGCCCAGGTACTACCTGATGCTGGAGAGAACAGGTGCTCCTGGCCTGAGCTCCTTGTGAGTCCGAAGACCCTCAGGGGACTCACCTTAGAGAGCACCCACTGGTGGGTAGAGACAGGCCTCTGGCTAAGGCTAGCTTTGGTGCTTGTGGTGGGAACACCTCCCCCTCAACACCCTGGCAGGCCGTCTCGAGTTCTTCCTTGGGCTGGAGGTCTAGGAGGAAGCCTGCAGCTCCACACAACCATACGTCCCTGGCCCGCAGGGCACGAGCCACCGTGCTCCTCCTGCAGCTGCCTGGTCTCCGCTTCCAAGCCAGGCAGAACCACAGGAAGGTAGAAGAAATAATCAGATGATGACAAAGACCAGGTGACAAGAGGCATCAGGCAGGGAACAGCAGGGATGAAGGAGGGTGGAGGGTAGGTGAGGCTCGGCTCCCTTTCTTAGCCCTTTGACCGCTGGCAGCTGACTTAACCTTTCTGGAAGCCTGACATCAGAGGGTTGGGTATGAACATGAAGTGTGAAGAGGAAGACGCCTCTGCCACGACCACCGCACCCTCTTCCGTTTCAGAACTCTCCCTTTCCCAAGGACTACCATCCCTTTTACCCACTGCAGAGCCTCCTCAGTAACCCCTCCAGGCCCCAAAGTGAGTGACACAGTCCGCCCTTCCAATCCACCAGTTCTGTATCCATGTATTCAACAGTATTCTGAAAAAATGGGCCAGCCTAGTAGCCTAGTGGTTGAGGGAGCTGAGGCCCACACGGCTGACTGCAGTTTGAATCCTAGCCTTGGACACTTGAAAAACACACTGGGCACATGTGTATGCATGCCCCAAATCCCAACAGGATAGAGAAATGGAGGAGAAGGGATTGCAGTGACACCACACCCCTACTGAGAGGCAGGGGGAGTTTACTCTCTTTATAGCCCCCATTTCTCTGGTGAGTGCACGTGCCCTCTGTCAATTATAAAAAAGAAAAAATTGCGGGACCAGCAGTTAGCGTAATGGCTATGTTGCTGGACTCCCATGTAGTTCCGCAGTTTGAGTCCAGACCTAGTGACTTAAACTTAGGCCGGGCGCATGTGTGTGAGTGCCCAAGATCCCGAGAGGAGAATGGAGGAGAAGGGATTGTGGTGTGGCCATCCCCCATGGGGGGGTGTGATTTCTCGCTTTCTGTCTCTCTCTCTCTCTCTGTCTTTCTGGTGAGTGCATGCACCCTACAAAAACCTCTCAAAAAATGCTAAAATATTCCCCAAAATGAAAAAAACATAATTTAAAAAAATACAGTATAACAACTACTTGTATACCATCTACATTGTAGTAAAGCCATCTAGAGATGGTTTCAAGTATACGGGAGGCAGACCAGCGGGTGGCATGGTAGTTGAGGCACTGGATACTCCCACATGTCTAACCATTGTTCGAGTCTTGGACCTGGTGGCTCATTTTCTCACTTCTCTCTCTCCTTGTGTGTCTTTCTGGTCAAATTAAAATAAACAAATAAAATAAAATAAATAATTATTTAAAAATTTAAAGTATATGGGAGAATATAGGTAAGTTTTATATAAATACTCTGCCATTTATGTCAGGGACTTAAACATCTGTGAATTTTGGTATGGGGGGGTACTGGAGCCAATTCCCCATGACTAATTCTCATGACATCTGCGGTATCATTCATTATAACACGGTAACAGCAACTAAAAGCTTTTAAAGAGTGCTTGCTGTGAACCGTCACAGGAACTTTTTACTTCATTATCTTACTGAATTATCACAATAGCCCTGCAAAAGGAATCCCCATGCCTATTGAAACGGTCAGAATATGGAGGTTCAGAGAGTCAAAGGATCACATAGCACTAAGGGCAGAGTTCAGGTCTAACCACGAACCTGCAATGCCCCTGCCTAGTACAGCAGGCTTGCCTCCGTCTCTCACCCTGCCTGACTTTCCATTGTTTTCTCCTTCTTAAAAATATTTTTAAAACTTTTTTCCATGAATGAGAGAGACAAAGGGGTAGAGAGAGACACACAGAGAGAGATCGCACCCCTAACAGGGTCATGACACGGCGATTCGCCCCTAGCCTCAGCCAGCCCTAAATCATGGGCATATCCCTGCCTGGTATACTCGGGGACACAAACCCAGAGCCTTCCCAAGTGGGTAAGCCACGGACCATCACGTTTCCCGCGGTACCACTGTCCACCCTCTGAATCTTTGGGGCGCCTGTCGCTGCCCGACCTTAATGTATTTTATAAGTACGTATGTGTTTATGATCGCTCTCCCCACAGAACATAACGCAGGGGTGAGCAGGGACTTTTGTGTGTCACCTGACACTGTGTCCCCAGGCCCTACAGCAGCGCCTGGTGCTCAAAGCTGCCTGTTGGATTCCTGAACGTGTGGCCCCCGCACCAGCCTGACTCCCCACCGTCTGAGCCCTGTGGCTGCAGCCCTTGTCACGCTCCCACCCGCTGCCATCCCCGGCTGTGGCTCACTCGGCTGTGGAGAAGGCCAGGGTGAAGTTGTGCCGGCGCTTCGTGGGGTCCAGCTCAGCATAGTCGAAGGCATCGGGGAAGAACTTGTGGATGAGAGCGCAGAAGGCCATGCCGCTGCTCCAGCTCGAGGAGAAGTTCTGGATGTCCACGTGCTGCGGGCCGCGGAGCACGGGGAGCACACGCGGGTCTTGGTGAGCCTCAGGCCAGAGGGCTGGACTCTGCCTGGTTCCCACCCTCCCACTCTTTGGGTTTGCAATGCTCAGACCCTTCCCAGCACTGGCAGCCTGGGGAAGGCCTCCCTGCCCCACCCATGCATCCCCACTCCATGCCCACCTCGTAGTTTCTCGTCATGGCCCGGCACCACTCCAAGAGCATGTTCTTGACGCTGCCAACAGCTGCCCCGGCCGCCTTGGTATTCCGGAACAGGGCAGTGGGGCCTGAGGCTGCCCTGTGGGGGAGGGTGGACAGGCCAGGTCAGGAGGGGTGGACCATGCGGGGTCCCACTAGGAGGGCCTCAGCCTCCGGATGTCGGTCCTCCTGCGTTACCATCCCTCAGGCCTCCCACCCACCAACCCACGTTCTAGGGAAAAGCTCAGCCCAGCTGGTGGCCTGTCTTACCCGCCAAACTTGTCCACAATGGCTTTGCGGTTCTGTGCTCGGGCCCCCCGGGGTCGGGCAGGGGCCGACACCCTGCGCTCTGGTGCCTTCTCCTTCTTTTTCTCCTCTGCGAGTGGGTGCTCTGTGGGACTCTGGGGCACATCGCTGGTTGAAGATTCACTGTGTGGCCAACCCGGGAGAGGGACAATGATGGGCCGGGACCACTCCAGGGCTGGTGCTGGAGGACATCACTACAGTCTAAAGAAGCGCGTGCAGCTGTGCACCTGCAGAGGCCCGCGTGGATCCCGGCCTGGCACTGGGAGGGAGCTGAGAGGGAACAATGAGGCCCCATCTCACTCCGGGGAGTGTATGGTTTGCTGAGGTTCTGTGGGCAGAACGAGGGTGTCTCCGAGGTTCAACCTGAGTCTGGCTCTTGATTTAATCTCTTACTAGCTGTGTGATCTTGATAGTGTCACATCCCATCTCTGAGCCTCCGCTTCCTCATCTGCAAAACGGGGCCAAGAATCCCTACCTGCCAAGGTGGCTTTAAGGCCTGTGTGGGGTGGATGTACCCAGGTGCACCTGCCACCCAGCTGTGTAGTGCTCAGTGAGCATTCACTGGGAACCTCCCCCTCGGACAGGGACGAGGAGGTGGGTTTCCACTTGATATAAGGAAAGGTTCTTTTTTTTTTTTTTTTGGAGAGGTTTTTGTTATAGGGCATGTGCACTTGCCAGACAGAGACAGAGATAGAAGGCGAGAAATCACTCCCTGGGGGGATGGCCATGCCGCACTCCCTTCTCCTCCATTCTGCTCAGATCTTGGGCACATACGCACACGTGCCTGGTGTGAGTTTAAGCCACGGGGTCCAGGACTCGAACCATGGTCGACTACATGGGAATCCAGTGACATAGCCATTACGCCAACTGCTGGTCCCAAGTAAAGAGTCTCCTAAGATTAAAGTTGTGCCATGGCAGGCCGGCCAGTGGCCCAGCAGTTAAGGCAGCTGGATCCCACTTGGCCAACTGTGTGATTCGAGTCCTGGATCTGACAGCTGAAGAAACACGGTGTGTGTGTGTGTGTGTGTGTGTGTGTGTGTGTGTGTATGCGTGTGTGTGCCCAAAATCCCGACAGGAGGAGGAGATGGAGAAGGGGAAGCGGTGAGACCACGCTCCGTCGGGGCACGCTTTCACTCCTTCTCATCTCTAGTGAGCACACTCACCCTCTGACAAATTAAAAAAAAAAAGTCGTACAGCAGCAAGCAGAAGGCTGTCGTTTTATCCAGCACCTGCCACGCACAAGGCACTCTGCTCAAGTGCAGTACTTAATGCTTATCGCATCATTCAAGCCTCGCAATAACCCTAGCGGTAGATGACAACAGTCGTGTCCGCTTTATAAAGGAAAGGTTAAGCGATATGGCCAAGGACACTCAGCTGTAAGAGAGAGCCGTTGTTGTCCAAGGTCAGGCTTTCCGGTCACGTGTTTATGGATGTTCCTGACTCCATGGATGCTGAGCTGTGAGACACAAAGCACCCGTGCAGTCAGAGAGGCTGAGGAGGAGACTTCGCCACTGGGAGGAGGTGGGCCAGGCGTCCAGACTCCCTTCTGTCTCTGCCTCCTTTCCTACCCCAGGCTCCACCCCGGGGTAGGAGGCTGACTGTCAGGAATCTCAAAATAGGGTGCTAGGGGACGTCCACACTGAGGCAGTGGTAGACTTTGGAGGGAGCTGGAGCCCCAGGGTTTGACATTACCTGGCGGAAGGACTGGTCTCCCCGGAAGCTGTGGAGTCAGGACCCAAGCCATCTGGAAGAAAGCAATAGGAGAGAGGGGTGCTGGGCTCTCCAGGATGTGCCCCCCAGCACCCTCCTCCCTTAGGGTGGCCTCTGCAGCATCCTGGGCTGTCACTCACCGGGGCTGAGGCTGTGGCCCTCCTCCGTGGGGCTCTCAGGCAACTCCCCGGGCGAGCTGGGAGTCACCTCTGCCCCTCCCTCGGACTCTTTCTCCACATCCTGCTCCTGCTCATCACTGGCACCGTCCGGCTCCTGGAATGAGCAGGATCTGTGTAGACTCAGGGTCACACAGCTCCTGCCCAGGGCTTTGAGGACTTCAGAAAGATCTAGAAGGCAGCCTGAGGCCAGGGTGTTGCATCCTGATCCCCTCCTCCCCCACCCAGGCTCTTGAAGTCAGTGGGAGGAAGACTGGCCTTCCCCAAGGGCATAAAGCAGGGAAGGACCTGCTTCCTGAGGGCTGGAGGGGCTCTTCCTCCCCCTCTTTTGCCCCACTCACCACTTCTTCCTTTGCACCACTTTTGACCTCTTCTTTCCCATCAGCCTCCTGAGGTTCACCCTGAGCCTCATCTTTCACGACCTCCTTCTCCTGAGATTCAGCCTTGGCCTCCTCCTTGGGCTCAGCCTTGGGCTCTTCCCTCCTGTGGCCGTCCTCCTGAGGGACCATCCTGGCCTCCTCCCCGCCGGCCTCCTTGTCCTTGTCATCCACGTGGGTGCTCTCCCTAGATTCGAGCTTGGCCTCGTTCTCAGCAGCCTTCAGCTTCTCAGAGGCCAGTGCGGTCTCTTCTGCCTCGGTCTCCTTAGGTTCCGATTTGGTCTCTTCTTTGCTGTCAGTCATCTCTGAAGAAGCCACTGTGGTTTCTTCACTCCCACCATCCTCCTTTTTAAGGCCAGCCTTGGCTTCCTCTGTCCCCCCAGCCTCACTTTGGGATTCCACCTCATCCATCCCATTTGCTTCTCCATGGACCTCCACAGAAATGCCGTCCTGGGCTGGTGCTAGGTCCTGCTTTTCTGCTCCACCCAGGGGCCCTTCTTTGACGGTCTTCCCAGCTGTGCCTTTGGTCTCCTCCTCTGTAGACATCCCAGTGTCCTCTGTGGGTGGAGAGACAGTGACCCCGTTCTCAGAGGGCTTCTCTTCCTTCGGCTCCATCTCTGGAAAGAAAAGACAAGCAGACCTGGTCTACCCCGTCCTGGCATGAGGGGAAGACCTCCTCCTCAGACACCTTTTGGCTGGGAGTTACCTGTGGTTAAGACCTCAGACATGGGACCCAAGTATCCACTCTCCCGTGCTGAAATGTAGGCTAGAACTACTCCCCAAAGCTGGGGTTGTTGGGCCACCTTGGCTTGATGATGGATGGTATTCGCCTAACGTTCGTATGACTATGGTTATGGCTTTGTCTTAGAGAACATTGACCCACGTAATGCCTTTCTGGTGGTTTTTGTCTTTTGATTAAGTCAACGAGATGGCCACAATCTGATATTGGGATCCTGGAACACCCGTGGGACAACTGCTACTCTCCTGCCCAGAGCCTAAAGCAGGCAGGAGTATCTGGACAGAATTGAATAACAGTTTTATTTCCATTGTGTTTATTTTTACAGTTAGTTTCTATTTCTGGCAGGTGTATGGAGTTGCTATTTCAACAGTGCTATAAAGTATCTTTTAAAAATACACTTATTGAATTCAAGTCAATTCAAAGGAAGGCATTCAGGAAATTAGAATGTGGATGGTGCATACATAGCCAAGTCACAGAGGTGGTGTAAAGCACATCTGAAATGAGGGACCCCTGGGCCAGCTGTTCCCTGGATATCTGCTCGCTCTGCCAGCTGGTGTTTCTCAGAAAAGGTGGGCCTGGTCAGGGCAGAGTTTCCTTTGGTGAAGAATAGAAACACTCTCTCCAGGGACCAGCAGTTGGCGTAATGGCTACGTCGCTGAACTCCCATGTAACGAACTGCGGTTCAAGTCCTGGACCCGGTGGCTTAAACTCACTCCAGGCGTGCGTGCATACCCAAGATCCCAAGAGGAGAATGGAGGAGAAGGGATTGCGGCGGCGTGGCCATCCTCCCTGGGGGGTGATGTCTCACTTTCTGTCTCTCTGTCTCTCTCTGTCTTTCTGGTGAGCACATGTGCCCTATAACAAAAACCTCTCCAAAAAAAAAAAAAAAAAAAAGAAAGAAAGGAAGAAAAAAAAAGAAAAGAAAGGAAGAAAAAAAGAAACACTCTCTCCAGCCTCTCCAAGGAAATCTGAGCCTCCCACTGTCCCCAGGAGGCAAAGAGGAGATTATGACACCTTAATGTGAAGTTTCCTATTCAAGTACTGAATATACTGTAGGATCTGCAAAAACAGGTGGGTTGGGGGACAGGGCCAGCTCCTTATCCCCCTACCCTTCTTGGGGGTCTAATTACAAGAAAACAATCCCCAAATAGGGCTCGGGCATGACTCAGGCCGTAAGAAAAGTGGCCACTCCTGTCACTGGCTAAAAATACCTCCCACCCTTGGCAGTACCAACCTTCTTGGTGATAGTTCCCAGGACAGGTAACTGGGACAGAGAATAGGAGGGAAGAAGACAGGCAGACAAGACAGAGCTCTTGTTCCTGCTACCCACTCGAGTTTTATTTTTTTTAATAATAATTTTATTATTATTATTTTAATTTGACCATAGAGAGGCGCAGAGAGAGAGAGAGAGAGAGGAAGAGTGAGAGAGAGGAAGAGTGAGAAAGCAAGCTGCCAGGTTTGGGACTCAAACTGCAGTCTGCCACATGGGACTCCAGTGCCTTAAGCACCACGCCACTTGCCGGCCCCTCCACTCCAGTCTAACCACTCCCAGACTGGAGTCCCAGGTTTGGTGTCCGCACCATTTCCTAAGAAGTAGGCTGGGCTGTGTGAAGACAACCCCCTAATTCTGCCTATCCTGCTGGAGCCCCTTCATGACTCAGGTGGCAGTAAAATGTATGAAAGTGACCGGGAGACATGAACCAGGAGGTCATGGAGCTGCCCTTCAGCCCATTCTGGTCGCCCATTCTGAGACCCGAGCAAGTCCCTCTGTCTCTCTGGGCCTCAGTTTCCACTGACCTTGACAGGGTTCAACCAGGTCAAGTTTTCCAAATTGTATTCAGTGGAATGAGGGTCCCAATGAGGTTAATAGGGGCTCTTGTGGGGGTGGAGAAAAGATAGATTCTCTGTGGCCACCTGACAGCATGGTGGTTAAGGTGGCTGGATCTCATATGGCCAACTGAGCAGTTTGAACTTGAAACCAGTGGCTTGGGGGATCAGCAGTTAGTGTAATGGCTATGTCGCTGGACTCCCATGTAGTCGACTGCAGTTCGAGTCCCGGACCTGGTGGCTAAAACTCACACCGGGTGCGTGTGCGTGCGTGCCCAAGATCCCGAGAGGAGAATGGAGGAGAAGGGATTGTGGCGTGGCCATCCCTCCTGGGGGGTGATTTCTCGCTTTCTGTCTCTCTGTCTCTCTCTGTCTGTCTGGTGAGCACATTCGCCCTATAGCAAAAACCTCTCCAAAAAAGAAAAAGAAAAGAAACCAGTGGCTTGGAAAACATGGCAGGCATATGTGTAGTGTGTGCTCAAATATCCCAAGAGGAGGGGCCGGCAGGTGATGTGGTGGTTTAGGCAGCTGGACTCTCACATGGCTGGTCACAGTTCGAGTTCCAGATCTAGCAGCTTTCTTTCTCACTTTCCTTCTCTCTCTCTGTGTGTCTCTTTCTGGTCAACTTAAAAAAAAAACCATAAATAAAATAATGACAATACATAAAATAAAAAATAACAACAACATGGGTTTCAAAATTATTTTTTTAAAAATTCCCAAGAAGAGGATGGAGGAGAAGGGATTTTGGTGAGGCTATCCCCCTGGGTGGTGATTTCTCTCTCTTTCTCTCTCTCTCTCCTGTCTCTGTCTCCAGGAAGTGCACATGCCCTATAGCAAATTATTAAAACACACACACATATTTTTTCTCTGACCAAGGTTGTTCCAAAACCAGCCTAATTTGTACCCTTTTAGAAACAAACATCTTCAATAGCTTCATGTAATAGAGAAAATTTAACTTTAACTCACTTTTCCCCAAACCTATTTGGCTATTGATTTTCTCCCCTCCTTTTTTCTTTTTGTTGTATTTTTCCTGAGGAGCATTACCACCCTCTCAGCAGAGAAAAGCACATAGCAGATCATGGTCTAAATGAGCCACCCAACAAATGCAGGTCCCAATGACTCGTCTCTCACTCGGAAGTGCCGTGAAACTGTGGGGACAGTCATCAGCTCTTGAGTCTTCCGTGCAGGGATCCTGACTTCCTCTTCTAACTGCGTGACCTTGAGTAAGCTACCTACCCTCTCTGTGCTTTGATTTCTGGAGATAATCACAGGTCCCTTGCCACAGGAATGGTGGAAGATTCAAGAATCTAACGCATAGAAAGTTTGTTGTCGTTTGCTATAGGGCATGTGCACGTCCCAGAGAGACAGAACGAGAGAGCAAGGCAAAGTGAGAAACCCGCCTCTTCCCAAAGGGAGATGGCCATGCTGCAATCACTTTTCCTCCACTCTCCTCTTGTGATTTTGGGCATGCTCACAGCACATGCAGCTGGCATGATTTTCAAGTTGCCAGGTTTAGGACTCACACTGCACAGTTGGCTGTGTGGGATCCAACCTCTTTAACTTCCACGCCATCTACTGACCCCTACTTGTAGTCAGGACTGTGCAAAGGAAGCTCTTAGAACACATCAGCTCTTGCAGTGCAGGTGGCCTTGCTGTGCCCTGTGCCCAGAAAAGATCCTGATCTGGTCTTGAGGGCATTTCTTGGTGGACAAGACAGAGAGAACTGCATGCCAGTAAGATGATAACAGCCCTTTTTATACCTCTGAGTGCGGCGGTATTTCACCAAGATGTAGTGGAGTGCTCTAAACATCTTCCCCTCCATCTATTAGGGTGGAGGAGGGGAAGGTTGGGTGTACTAGGATGGAGGAGGGGAAGGCTAGGTGTATTAGGGTGGTGGAGGGGAAGGTTGGGTGTATTAGGGTGGTGGAGGGAAGGTTGGGTGTATTAGGGTGGTGGAGGGGAAGGTTAGGTGTATTAGGGTGGTGGAGGGGAAGGTTAAGTGTACTAGGGTAGAGGAGGGGAAGGTTGGGTGTATTAGGGTGGTGGAGGGGAAGGTTAGGTGTACTAGGGTGGAGGAGGGGAAGGTTGGGTGTACTAGGGTGGTGGAGGGAAGGTTGGGTGTATTAGGGTGGAGGAGGGGAAGGTTAGGTGTACTAGGGTGGAGGAGGAGAAGGTTAGGTGTACTAGGGTGGAGGAGGGGAAGGTTGGGTGTACTAGGGTGGAGGAAGGGAAGGTTAGGTGTATTAGAGTGGTGGAAAGGAAGGTTGGGTGTACTAGGGTGGTGAAGGGGAAGGTCAGGTGGACACACACATGCGCATGTTCATTGTGATGAACGTGGCCATTGAGCGCGTTCATCACTTCAGCTCTCCACCCTCCAGGCTCATCGTAAGTAGACAAGAAACGAGGACACTCAGAGTGCTGGGTAGGTAGGGGCAGTCCCACCCAGCAGCACAATCCTGCAGCCGCTTACACTGCACACTGCAGTCCCCGATGTTCCTTAGTCATTCCTTACTCAGACCCTTTGGATTAGGTGCTTTTGTCCCATCCTACAGATTAGGAATTGGAGGTGTGGGGAGTTGAGGTCTCTTGATTAAAATTGGAGGATGAGGGCCAGCATATGGCATAATGATTGCGTCGCTGGACTCCCACATAGTCCACTGTCCCAAACCCGGCAGCTTAAAACTCACACCAGGCGTGTATGCCCAAAATCCTGAGAAGAGAATGGAGAAGGGATTGCGGCGTGGCCATTTGCCCAGGGGGGGGTGAGTTCTCGCTTTCCATCTCTCTCTGTCTTTCTCTGCTCTCCAGCGAGCACATGCACCCTATATCAAAACTCTCTCTTAAAAAAAAAAAATTCAGGATCAGCAGGTGGTGTCATGGTTAAGGCGCTGGATACTCCCACATGGCTGACTATGGTTCAAGTCCCGGACCTGGTAGATTGTTTTCTCACTTTAGCTCTCTCTCTGTGTGTGTATGTGTGTGTGTGGCTGCATTTGTCTGTCTGGTCAAATTAAAAAATAAATGAATGAATAAATAAAATTAAATAAAT